AAAGGGACTTCTTAAGATACTCTGTCAAAATCCCTCCTTTTAGACATGAGGAAACTGAATCACAAAGAGGTTAAGTGACTTGCCCAGAGTAACATAGGTAATAAAGTAGCTGAAGCAGGAATTGACCCATGTCTTCTGACCTAACTCCATCACCCTATCCTGTACATCACAGCACTCTTTGGTCATACTCCCCCCCCCCATTCTTATCCCTTTATGGTCACCCAGTCTCTAACAATTCAAAGCCAAGAGGTGGGCTTTTCTGGGTGTGTGGTCAGGGTAGATAAAGGGGAACCATTCTTCTTCCATTTAGCCTCTCCCACCAGTCCTCCTGATATGTCTACAATTTAGCCTAAAAAAGCCACACATTTACTCTGTTTTTGAAGCTGGAAAGTGTGTGCTGCTCAGAAATTCTCTGGCATTAAAATAATTATATGATATCCAATCTGGGGATTCAACATTCAGACATGCTAACTCACGCTGGCAAGATTAGATCTTTCTTCTTCTTGCCTCCTGGCTAGGTTTTTTGCCATCTTGTACTCATTTAAGCCAAGAAATTGAAAGTATTGAGAACAAAAACCACTAGTCTTTTCCCAGGCACTGGGTCTGAGGCCAAACCAGACCTGCTGCTGAAAAGAGATCTTGGCCCTTTCAGTAAGTGCATCTCTAAATGGGCACTTTGGCTCCTTATTTTTCTGGTGATAATTTTTACTCTTCACCAGCCTCTGGTAAAGATTGAGAATTGCGTTTTTCCTAGCTAATCCTTTTTACCAAATGCTGAGCAGAAACTGATGTTGTTTTGGCTTGTAAGTCTAGGAAACTTTAGACATGATGAAGTATGATTATTTTCCAAGGCATTTATTGGAGGATTCAAATAAGCCTGGGTTACTTGTGTTAAAGCTCTGTGCCCTGGACTTTGTATACATAGAAGAACACATTCAGATTTCTAGTTATTGCAATCAGTTAAAAAACCTTGGCTCTTTGTAGTGGTGGTGGAGTTTCTGGCCATCTGGTCAACCTGGGCAGACACACACACACACACACACACACACACACACACACACACACACACACACACATGCTGCCCTACAAATGCATGTCAGTCTAATATATTGTGCCTAAAGACAGTTATTTCCATAATCTTAATGATTAAATTACACCAACCTTTGCTGACTTAATTCAGTGCTCACAAATGAAAAAAAAAAAAAGGTCAGCAATCAATTCTCACAAAACCCATTCACCCTCACACCCATTCACTCCCACTCAGTCAGGCTCCTATTCACACAAAATAACATTCAGTCATACATACTCGTGACTCTACATACCATAAGGCATAGAACAACGAAACAAAAAAACCCCCTTTTATTCAGCCTCTATTTCATAAGACTACATACAGTAGAGAGAAATGGCTCCTGGAATGTGCTGAACACTGTGCAAAGATCTGAGGGAGATATATAACCAGGAGTGTGTCAAAGCCAGCTTGGACCACCTCTTGATAGCTGATAGTTAAATTTTCAGTGGGATCATTTACACATAGGAAACTGGCAAGACAAGCTTTGACCCCTGCTCTAGACTGAAGAAAGTGATGGAGAAAATAATTAATAATGCAGATTAACTTAAAAGTATGACATCAATGTTCAGAGAGCCTGTTATTAAGCATTTGCCAGCAGACCCCTGGAAACAACATAGTGTCTGTCCTAAAAGAGATCTTATCCATAACTTAGTTCAATCTTGGAGGAAAAGACACCAATAGAGATAGTTATAAAATGCTATATACATGATAAGTGTATCAAAGAAATGTAAAACAAAGAGCCACATGAGGCCCAATGGGAAAGTTCATCGCCAGATGGGTTTCAGTGAAAGTTTTACAGAGAAGGTATTTATTCCACTTAAAACACAAACAGGATTCCTTCTTAGGATCATAGACCTAGAGTGGGAGGGGACTTCAGTAATCATTTTACAGATGAGGAAACTGGGGCCCGGAGATGTTATTTGTTTAAAGTCACACAGATAGTAAGTGACAAAGGTAAGATTTGAACCTAGGTCCTCTGTTTCCAAAGCTAGTGTTGGGTCTTAAAGAGCGGGTAGCAATTTGATAGGCAAAAGCAGGGGTGGTTTGGGGGGTGATGTTCTCAACACAAGGAATAGAATGAACCAATTTCCTATTCTCTAGTGCTTTTGGATTTATAAAAATGTTTGTTTCACAATCAACTTGTGAGATAGGAATTATATGAATTATTCTCCCCATTTTGCAGATGAGGAAATTGAGGCTTAAAAGATGGCACAACTTTTCCAAGACCATGCAACTAATAAAAATAGAGCCAGCACTTCAGTGTAGGTCTTCTGACTCTTATTCTACCACTTTTTCCACTAGACCACATTTGTCTCTACTCTTTTCCCTGCAATTCCCAATCCTCATTCCCATCCTTGGTCCCACAGTGGTCACCCAGCCCTCTAGCTGATCAAAGCCCTAAATTAGGGGGTTATCATGTATCCTGGCTATAAGGTCAGGAAAGAACAGGGTGTGTTCAGAGGATAGAGAAGAGGCATTTGACTGGAACTTCAAGTACATGGAGAGAAGTAATCTGAGACAAGTCTGGGGAGGGCACTGGACACCCTCACAATCTTTTTGGATGGACTAGCTATGGGCAGCACAGAGTCCACAGCTGCCATTAAGCCCCAGAAACAGCAGCAACAGCAGTAACAAAACCATTCCATTTGGCCAAGCAGCAAGCTCTGACTCTTAAGTGACTAACTTAGTAAAACAAGTCTCCAAACTTGGAGTGCTTTTTTCCCCATAAGTATAACATAAATTCCAAATCTTGCCATGTTGTTTCTATCAAGCAATTCATCTGGCTTTGGTTTTGTGGTCTTGTAGGACAGATCAGACATCCAAGAATTTTTTAATAGGCCTGATTTTCTTTTTTAATGGATCTCTTTTAGATTTTTCCCTCAGAAGCAGGAAGTTAACTCTCCTTTGGCAGGAAAGTGAAGACAAATACTGAAACAGTGGAATTCCCTATAAAACATACAGCTTACTGAAGGGCAAAGGGATGTGTGTGATATCATCTAAGCTATAACTCAGAGAGAGGACCCGGGGTTGTAAAGAAGGTGGCTCGGGATGGACTATGGGGTTCTGGCTCTTCTTCTCACAGGATAGGGAGACCTGAGTTTAAATACTGTCTGGTTCTGCTACTTACTACATGTGACTACATACATGACCTCAGGTACTTAATCACTCACCCTTCTTGGTCCATAGTTTCTTCATTTATAACATGAAGGAGCTAGAGTAGATGATTTCTAAGCTCCCGTCCAACTATAAATCTAATGATCTAAACCAGAGGTGTTAAACATCTGTCCCATGGGCCTCATGTGGCCCATAACACTCCTAAGAGCAGCTAAAACATATTAGAATGTAATTGGGAAATATTTGAAATAATAGATAAAATATAATAAAAATAGGCAACAGTATATTGGTACCACCTCACACCTATCAGGTTGGCTAATATGACAGAAAAGGAAAAATGATAAATGGTGGAGGAGATGTGGGAAAATCAGGATGCTAATGCATGGTTGGAGTTGTGAAATGATCCAACCATTTTGGAGAACAGTTTGGAACTATTCTCAAAGGGATGTAAAACTGTGCATACCCTTTGATACTGCAATACCACTACTAGGTCTGTATCTGAAAGATATCAAAAAAAAAAGGGAAAGGATGCATATATACAAAAATATTTATAATGGCTCTTTTTGTGGATACCATCAATTGGAGAATGGCTAAACAAGCTGTGGTATATGATTGTAATGGAGCACTACTGTGTGATAAGAAATGATGACCAGGCTGATTTCAGAAAAATTGGAAAGACTTATATGAACTGATGAAAAGTGAAATGAAAAGAACCAGGAAAATATTGTACACAGTAACAGTAATATTGTATGATGATCAACTGTGAATGACTTAGCTATTCTCAGCAATGCAGTGATCCAAGACAATTCCAAAGGACTCATGATAAAAAATGCTATCCATCTCCAGAGAAAGAACTGATGCAGATCAAAGAATACTTTTTTTAAGTTTTCATCATTTTTCTTATTTTTTTTTCTGTCTGTGCCTTCTTTCACAACACGACTAATTTGTAAATATGTTTTGCATGACTGCACATGTATAACCTATATCAAATTGCTTGCCTTCTCAAGAAGAGAGAAGGTAGGGAGAGAGGGAGAGAATTTGGAACTCAAAATTTTAAAAAATCAAAAAATGGGTTTTTTACATGTAATTGGGAAAAATAAAATATTTAATAAAAAAAAAACGAAGTCATTGTGCAACCTTGCAGGTATGCTTATGTATGGAATAGTAGCCTCTATTTCTATTTAAGTTTGACACCACTTATCTAGAGCGTTGCCTCTTAACTGAGTTAATAATACAACAAGATAATAAATCCAAATTCTTTACTGAGATAGAGCTCCATCTCACTTAGTTCAAAGTACAGACAGAAGAGAACAGAAGAGATTGATGGGTCCTAGACTGTGAAAAGGGAGATGGGCAAAAACACATTGTCAATTTAAAAACATTTATAGGTATTAGAGTAAAACCAAGTTTCATGTCTGCAAACATTTGCCATGAACTGGAAATAAGACCATAAATATTTAGCTGGAAAGGTTATCTAGTCTCACCTCCAAGCCTCCATTTTAAAGATGAAAAAAGTGAAGCCCAGGAAAGTGAAGATTTGAACCCAGGTCTTATGACTCCAGAGTCAGCACCACCTTCACAGTACCATTCTGCCTTTCCCTGGCCATGCCATGCTCTGTGAACTAATGATTGTGAAAAAAATGATAAAAAAGACTCTCCTCCTTTCCCAAGTGCAGATGCAGAGCACTAAGGTGTTGCTCACTTTAGTAGAGAGAGGGGAAATCCTTTGAAATCATTGCTTCAATCACTCACCCTAAGTCTTATAATGCAAAACACTGATTGTATCCTCTACTATTCTTCTCTCTTCCCCAACCAGGCGTGGTGTGCTCCACCTTCATGAAAGCAATGGAATCCATGACATTGGCATGCCCCAGTGGCAGCTCTCTCTGTGCCTGATGGTGGTAGTCATCATCCTCTTTTTCAGCTTGTGGAAAGGAGTGAAGACATCGGGAAAGGTAATCTCTTCTGCTTAGCACCAGGAAAAACTAGAGTTGGAAACAGCTTTTGAGATTATCTAGTCCTGTATGCTGTGTTTCTCCCTCAGTCAATAGTGGCTTATCTTATTCCAAAGAATATTTTAGAATGGAATGAATCCATGCCCCACTCACAATTCTCAGCCTCTGGAATAAGCCTTGGGAGTGGCAACATGGTAAGGCAGCAACTGTTGCCAGTTACCCTAAGAAGGGCATTGGTCTCTCTCCTCTCTGAGGATTCTCATGGAGAGTGCCTGCATCTCTGTGATGGCATTTAGGCCCTACTGTTATATTATGGTAATTGAAATGTATGCTTTGGAAGGAGAGAGAGCAAGGAAACCAGGAACCGGCTGAAACCCTTTGTAGCAAATCAATGTAGCTCTAGTGCAAGGTTGGGGAAGCTGCAGCCTTGAGGCCACATGTGGCCCTCTAGGTTCTCAAGTGTGGCCCTTTGACTGAATCCAAACTTCACAGAACAAATCCTCTTAATAAAAGGATTTGTTCTGTAAAACTTGGACTCAGTCAAAAAGCTGCACCCAAGGACCTTCTAGGCCACATGTGGCCTTGGAGCTGCAGGTTCCCCACCCCTACTCTAGGGTGTTGCCTGGGTGGAAGGGTATTTGTTTTCTTCTGTTTTGTGTCTCCTAGGGGAAAATGTTTTCCATTGGACTATGCCACAAGTTGCTTGCACCTTAAATACAGTATATACCAATGGGATGTGGCACAGAGTCACACATTATAGGCAGCTATATCCTGGATATCACCTTCTCAGTCTTTCCTTACTTATATAATAATAATAATAATAATAATAATAATAATAATAATAACAATAATAATAACAATAATAATGAATAATAATGCTAGCATTTTACAGATGATGGTATTGGGGATAATGGAGGCTAAACTACGTGATCAGAATGACACAGCCAATAAGTATATGAAGCAGGACTTGGGCTCAAATCCTTTGACTCCAGGTCCTTAGACATGTTTGTGTCAGAGGTTGCAGAACCCCAACAGTCAGTAGAAGTGGAATTCTGATGTAAAACACAAGCATATGGCATGGGACCATGTCTCCAAGTTCTCATGTGTAAGGGCACTTTAACTTTATTAGGAAAGGATAGACCAGGAGCTTGTGCAGGAGAAACTCTAAGGTGTCTGGTTCTAGTCTTGGAAGATTGCTGCATGTCCTTCTTGAGATTTTGTTGTTGTTGTTGTTGTTTTGTTTGTTTTGTTTCTTTGTTTTTGGCACAAATAAACTTACCCTACTATTAAGAAAGTAATTCTGGGGTCAGGGCAGGGAAAAGAATTATAAAAAAAAATTCTTCTTCAAATAGCATTTCCCACTAAAGAATCTTTTAATCCTGCTGATTTTTTTTCCCCTTCAGGTGGACATTGGACAAAGGCTCTTTGGAAAATGGTCTCTTAGCTAAGTTTCCTTATGAAAGAAATGGAACTCTATTAATGATTATGCCATCACCAACAGAATTCCTGGGAAGTGTGAGCACAATTCTCTCTTTAAAATGGCCTCAGGTCTCAAAAGAGAGTCCCCAAAAAGAGTGCTCTCTGACACCATTAAACATAGGAGCTGTAATAGATTCAAGAAGATGACTTGTGCCAGCACTAGCTACTTAGCACTTGTGCTAACTCATGAGGAGCACAGTGTTTAGGAGCTGGGCCTTTTGCCCTGTCTGCACCAACTATGCTATTCAGATGAGGAATACTGTTGACATCACATGGCTAATCTCCACCAGCTGACAGGGCAGGGGTCCCAGCCTGGCCCAAAGGTAATGAGAGAGGGGTTTTGTACAACTGGAGCCACCACAACTTTCCTCTATCTCAGTCTCTAATTATCATTGCAGGCTATTGCAGACAAAGTGGGTATTTTGTTCATTTATTATGGAGAGGCATCCTGGGTGGAATACAGTGCTTTCATTAACAGATTGCCCTGGCCTCAATGCCAAGGCTATGAAATGGATTGCAAGTGGTTACACTTCTAGCTTTGGCAAGGACCCAAGATTTGGGAATATTCTTTAAGCCCATAGTTGTTTAGAGAGTAGTATGTCTTCACTCATCTAGGACCCTGATTGTGACTTGAACAAGCAAGAACAAAAGCAAAGAGAGAAATCCGGTAAACATTTATTTATTTGCACTTAATAGTACTTTTTTTTTATCAATTATGTGTAAAGATAGTTTTCAACATTCATTTTTGTAAGATTTTGAGTTCTAATTTTTTCTCCTTCCCTCCATTACTTTCTCACTCCCCAAGACAGTATGCAATCTGATATAAGTTATACATGTAGAATCATGTTGAACACATTTCCACTTTAGTCATAGTGTGAAAGAAGAATAAGAACAAAGGGGAAAAACCATGAGAAAGAAAAAAAAAACAAAACAAAAACCCCAAAAAAGTAAAAATAGTATGCTTCAATCTACAGTTAGACTTCATAGTTCTCTCTCTTGATGTGGATAGCATTTTCCATCACAAGTCTTTTGGTATTGCCTTGGATCATTGTATTGCTGAGAAGAGCTAAATCTATCAAAGTTGATCATCACACAATGTTGCTGTTACTGTGTACAATGTTATCCTGGTTCTGCTCACTTCACTCAGCATCAGTTCATATAAGTCTTTCTGAAATCTGCTTACTCATCATCTCTTATAGAACAATAGTATTCCATTATATTCATATATCACAACTTGTTTATCCATCCTCCAACTCATGGGCATCCCCCAAATTTCCAATTCTTTGCCATCACAAAAAGAGCTGCTATAAATATTTTTGTACATGTGAGTCCTTTTCCCTTTTTTGTGATGTCTTTGGGATACAAACATAGTAGTGGTATTGCTGGATCAAAGGCATGGGCAGTTTTATACCCCTTTGGGCATAGTTTCAATTGCTCTCAAGAATGGTTGCGTCAGTCCAAAACTCCACCAACAGTGCATTAGTGTTCCAATTTTCCAACATCTTCTCCAACATTTGTCATTTTCCTTTTCTACCAATTTAGCCAGTCTGATGTGAGGTGGTACCTCAGGGTTGTTTAATTTGAATTTTTCTAATCAATAGTAATTTAGAGCATTTTTTCATATGATGATGGATAGCTTTGATTTCTTGATCTGAAAACTGCTTGTTAGTATTCTTTGACCATTTATCAGTTGGAGAAAGACTTGTATTCTTATAATTTTGACTCACTTTCCTATATATTTTAGAAATGAGGCCTTTATCAGAAACACTGGCTGTAAAAATTGTTTCCCAGCTTTCTTCTTTCTTTCTAATCTTGGTTGCATTGGTTTTGTTTGTGCAAAACCTTTTTAATTTAATGTAATCAAAATTATTCATTTTGCATTTCATAATGTTCTCTATCTCTTGTTTGGTCATAAATTCTTCCCTTCTCCATATATCTGAAAGGTAAACTATTCCTTGCCCTCCTAATGTGCTTATGGTATCATCCCTTATGTCAAAACCATGTATCTGAAATGTTGGTTTATGCCTAGTTTCTGCCATATTATTTTCCAGTTTTCCCAGCAGCTTTTTCAAATACTGAGTTCTTATCCCAGAAACTTGAGTCTTTGGTTTTAGCAGACAGTAGATACTATAGTCATCTACTATTGTGTTTTATGTACCTAATCTATTCTACTAATCCACCACTCTATTTCTTAGCCAGTATCACATAGTTTTGATGATTGTTGCTTTATTATATAGTTTTAAATCTCGTACAGCTAGGCCACCTTCCCTTGAATTTCATTTCATTAATTTCCTTGATATTCTGGACTTTTTATTCTTCCAGATGAATTTTGTTATTGTTTTTCCTAGCTCTATAAAATAATTTTGGGTAGCTTAATTGGAATGACATTGAATAATTAAATTAATTTAGGTAGAATTGTCATTTGATTATATTAGCTCTGCCTATCCATGAGCAATTGATACTTTTCCAATGTTAAGATCAGACTTTATTTGTATGAAAAGTGTTTTGTAATTGTGTTCACATAGGTCCTGGCTTTGTGTTGGCAAATAGACTCCAAAATATTTTATATTGTCTAAGTTATTTTAAATGGAATTTCTTTTTCTATCTCTTGTTGCTAGACTTTGTTGGTAATATATAGAAATCCTGATGATTTATGTGGGTTTGTTTTATATCCTGCAACTTTGCTAAGGTTGTTTATTATTTCAAGTAGTTTTTTTTTTAGTTGATTCTCTAGGATTCTCTAGGTAGACTATCTGATACGATAGTAAAGAGTGATAGTTTTGCAAAGAGTGATAGTTTTGTTTCTCATAACCTATTCTAATTGCTTCAATTTTTTTCTTCTCTTGTTGCTAAAGCTGACATTTCTAGTACAAAATTGAATAATAGTGGTGATAATGGGCAACCTTGATTCACCCTGATCTAACTGGGAATGATTCTAGCTTGTGCCCATTACATATAATGTTTACTGGAGGTTTTGGATAGATACCACTTATCATTTTTAGGAAATTTTCATTCATTCATAAACTATGTAGTGTTTTTAATAGCAATGGGTGCTGTATTTTGTCAAAAGCTTTTTCTGAATCTATCAAGATACTTATATGTTTTGTGTTATTTTTGTTATTGATATGGTCAATTATGCTGATAGTTTCCGTAATATTGAACTAGCCCTGCATATCTGGTATAAATCCCACCTAGTCATAGTGTATTTTCCTCACAATAAACTGCTGCAATCTCTTTGATAATATTTTATTTAAAACTTTTGCATCAATATTCATTAAGGAAATTGGTGTATAATTTACTTATCTCTTTGGCTCATTGGTTCATTGATGACTTATTCAATTTCTTTTTCTAAAATGGGGTTATGTAAGCACTTTATTTCATTTTCTGTTAATGTGAGCAATTTATATTTTTGTAAATATTCATCTATTTCCCTTAGATGGTGAGATTTATTGGCATATGGTTGGTCAAAATATTTCCTAATTATTGCTTTTATTTCCTCTTCATTGGTAGTGGATTTGCCC